CATCTCCACCATCTTTAAACAGGGCAGGTGGCGGGCCGTCAGATCCAGCTGCTTTGTTTCAGGGTTTTGAGTTCCTTTCGGATCTCTGCTTTTGTGGGCGATCCCGAAGATAGCGACCAGGTTGCACTCTCAAGAGAACTGCTTGGGGAAGCCAGCTCGGGGGGCTGATTGAACTGAGATGTGAAGTGCTCTGCCCAGCGTTCCAAGCATCGATGAAGGCCGTTTATTAGCGTGCCGTCTGCTTCGCAGATTGTTTCACCAACGTACTGTCTTTTGGGGTCTGTAGTACGGATGAGCTGGAATAGTTGCCGGGTGTTTCCACACCTAGCCGCTGATTCCATCTCCTTTGCACGTAGCGTCCGCCAGGCTTCTCTGTTGTCTCTCAAACTCTTTGTGAGTTCACGCTCCAGGGGGATGCGCTGTTCGTTGTACTCGCGGTCTGCCGGGATTGCCGGACGCGCGTCGAGGAGTGTAAGAGAGTTGGAGGAGACCCAATGATTTACAACTCGGCGGGTTAGGCCACAACTGTGTAAACCGGCTGAGTGAATTGCATTTTGAATGGTTGTCCAGTGTTGATCTACGCTACTTGGTGAGGTAGTAGTTAGCCTTGCGGCCAACTCGTTTTGGTAATCGGCTAGTACGGCCGGAGCAGAGAGACGAAGTCAAATTTCAAATTCAAATTTTTATTATGGGATATAACTTACAAAGACTTCGCTTTTTCAAATCCCATAGGGTGTTTACACTTTGGTTCGGATCACGATTCACAATATCACAGTTAGTCCATGAAAGTAAAGTAGTAAGGTAATGTTTTGACGAGCACAGGAGAATATGTTATGTAGTTTGGTGTTGAAATGCTTGCCAGACCATCATCAAGCTGACGCTTGAATGATAATAATGTTGGGGCACAGACAACGTGAAATGGTAGAGAGTTCCATGTGCTGCACACTCTGACTGCAAACGAGTGACGTCTGCAGTCGAGACGGCTCTTTTGGTGTGCCAACTTCAGCGGATGCCCTCTGAGATGAACGTTGTGCGATAAAACCAACAAAGATCTACATGGATGGTTGGGTTGTTGGAAAATTCGATAGAGTAAAATCATATCGCCTCTGATTCGACAATATTGGGATGAG